AAATGCGCACGGCAAAAATTCAATGATGCGAAACAAATGGCCAAAAGTGTGAAACATACTATCACGGAATGTTTTCATTCATTATTGCATATTAATGCTGAATTCAAAAATCACACTTGAAATACTTTTCATTTTTTCATACTTTTCTTTTCATTGAATACATTATCCAAAGGTTATGAAATAAATAAGAAATAAAATGTCATTTTATATTCTTCTTCTCAACAATGATTGAAGTGAATCAGATCAAAAGGTAATTAATTAGCTGATAACCTAACATAATTAAAAGTTTTAAAATACTTTTTGTGAACTTCTCATAATATTTAGTGTTTTTTTTTTTATCTTCTAGGCACCATATTTCTTGTCTTTTCTTCTTTATATTCTGAGCAGAGTTGAAAATTCCGAAATTAAATTGAAATTGCTGTATGCGATGCCAGAGCTGGGAACACATAAAGTATGTGTTGGTCCCGTACTGAAAACTTTACAAACTTTAGCTGCATTACCCAGCATGCAACACATTGGTATAAGACTTGTAACGTCACTATGGAAATTGCAGGTAAATCGTTTACTTTATTAGAAGTGCTTTTAGAAGTGCACACACACACACTGGTATGTTGTACATTTTATTGCCACACCATATGTAGGTACCAGTAATGCATGTATAATTTATTATTTGAATGTGCTGTTGTGATCAGTAAAAAAGCCTATTCTTCTACTCTGAAACTGTATATATGTTTCCTAAAGACAAATTCTGTGATTTCTTTAAATATTTTATTGAGATCTGTAAAATAATATCCTTAAGATAGTGACTTTAGCTGGAGCATTAGGGAATCATGGTAAATTTTTTCAACAGCCCTACGGACTCATTGGCTTTCACTGATGTCCTAGGGGGTCACAGTGCCTTTCACTGGGGGTCTCAGGAGGTCACAGTGACTTTCACTGGGGACCTAGGGAGTGACTTTACTAATATATGCTTCTGTCAGAGGTATGCTTTTCGTAATACTTAATATTCTAATGTAATGCGCTAGAGCATACAATGGAGGAAGATATTTTTACTACATTTGCGTATTTTCATTTTGAACAGCTTTTAAAATTGCATATATCATCTGACATTTCCTACATGCATTCTAAAATTGTGATGTAAATCACATTTTTTTCTTTTACGTAGGATCGCTGTTTTCCGCACTTACAGAAGCTACTTGCAATCCCAAACAATAAATCAACGTCCAGCGGTGACATTGACATAGTTTTACTCTCCAAGGCAACCTCTGTTAGGGATATATGTACAGTGAGGTAGGGATGCATCTTTAAACATCTTCACATTCACTACGTTCAATTACCCACCATAGACTCCGGTCAGTCAAAATGACTATTTTGAACTGTAGGCATTAATCAACGATTCTGTCGGTGACGGAGAGATAGAATCTAGGTCAGGGGAAGCCCCATGACCTCAAGATTCTTTTACCCCTTACGTCACGAACCCACGTGACCGAGGCCACATGGCAACGCCATAGGTAGCTGTCCATCACTCTTCAATTCTCTTCTCAGGGCCCCCGGGTGGGGATAACATTAGGCAACACTTCCCACTGGTTTCGGGATCAGACCCCATAGCGTGGGATGAGACCAAAACGCCCCCAACCGGATTCCAAGGCTCCTTCCCCAGACCTCGGTACCACGAAGTTGGCAAACCAGGCAAAGGGTGATAGCTGTGTTTCATGGGTGTCTTTGCCAATTGAAGACGACCCACCCAGCCCTGAGGGCAAAGTTGCTTGAGTACATTATTATGCGTGACCAGCACTCTGGAGACCTTGGAGGCAGAACGCACCAGCCTCCTAGACCAGGCGACATTTTTACTGGTGGGCCACCGCACATCTACATGTGACACCCCCTAGTGTCGCCTGGCTCTCTTGGCCAGGGCCACTACCGTGCTACGAGACGCGGCCTTAGACGCACGTGTTTTTGCCGACAAGCTGAGCCAGGGTATGTCCCCACCTCAGTGACGCAGACTGGACATCCTCCACCTTCTTTTGTTCAGGGAATGGTGGGTACAGTCTTGGAGCTTCGGAGTGCAATGAACCACAGGGTTCAGATCGAATCCGCTGGCCAGTTGGTCCTGCCATGGGCAAACGGAGGGCACCCCAAGCACAGAAAACACAACGCCCTAGGGCCAGGTGGTGGCTCCTCGCCCTCCCTGGGCGGACGTCTACCCGGCAGCAGGGGAGGCATGTTTGACGCTCACCTCTGCAACCGGGGAGACAGGCACGTGTTCGGTGAATGGCCAGGTCACAACTTAGTGACTACTTCAGGCCTTGGGGAACTCACCTCGTGGGGAAAGGGAGCACCCCCCTCGCAACTGCCGAACACATGGCCACATATCCCTGTCGTACACAGATTGCGCCGGTGTAGTCCGGTTTGGAGACGGTGGGTGACCGACCCCTGGACCTTCCCAGGTGGTGACATCCGTTTACAGGATACTGCTGAAATATCCTTTTCCCCTGTCAGTGTCTCCCCTGTTGGGCACTGCCAGGGGACTCCCGCAAGGCGGAAGCAATCAGACAAGAAGTAGCAGTTTGCTGGGGAAAGATGCCATACACAGGGTACATCA